ACCTCACCCAGCCTACATTTGCTGTTTTAAGCCACTCAGCTTGTGGTCCTTTGTTGTCGCACTGCTAAGAAATTAATGCAAATTCCTACATGTCTTCCACCAGATTATGCTAAGCATATCCCAGACATCAATTATTTTATCCATAAATATATTAAAACCACTCTTATTATGCTCACCAAAATTAACACTATTGTTTGCAGATATTTTTGTCCGTAGGATATAAACCACTAATAAATCAAACTGCTATGATATAAAGGCATTTGAAATAATTCTTCACTATGTAGTTAAGCCTGAAATGCAACTAGGGTCATTTGTTTCATTTTATCTTCAATACTTAGGGGATACTTACTTGCTTTTATTTAATTTTGTTTTATTATTTTACAAAACATTTTCCAATGTTTTGTGAACATTGGAATATCAAAATTATATAACAAGATATCTCAAAAGATTTTAGATTTTATCACTGTTCCCTTCAACCTTTTTTTCCCTTCACCTTACAGCTAACCATTTTTATTGATCTGCTTTTATCCTTTTTTTATGCTTTTTTTTTTTTAAGCAGAGTCAGTCACTGCTTAACAACTGGGATATCTTCTGAGAAATGTGTCATTAGGCTATTTTGTCATTATGAGAACATCATAGAGAGTACCTTCACAAACCTAGATGGAATAGCCTAATGCACACCTAAGCTACATGGCATGGCCTATTGCTCCCAGGCTACAAACCCGTATAAGTATGTGATTGCACTGAACTATAACACAATGGTGAGTATTTGTGTTATCGAAATGTATGTAAACACAGAAAAGGAAATATATGCTATTATAATCTTAGGGGACCACTGTCATATATGTGGTACACTGTTGACCGAAATGTTATATGGTGCATCACAATATAAGCAAATATACACATATCATCTTTTTGGGAGGTATGTCCCCCCTTTCTTAGTTAACAGTACTTCTTGTTTTATACATTTCTCCACTTACTAATATATTCTAGAGTGGAACATAGTGGTATTACAGAGGTCTTCCTCATTCCTTTTTATAGCGGTATAGAATACCATTGTGTGGATGTACTACGGTTTATTCAACCATATTCCTTTAATGGACATTTGGACTAACATTAATTTTATTAAATCAGGACTTTACATTGGTACATGATAAAGGCACAGCTTTAAATCAATTTCTACATTGCTGAGAAGCAAAAAGTAACATTTATAAAATCCTGGCTCAAATGGGACCTGCTGAGCTACCATCATCCAAAGCCACATGTAACCAATATCACTTCTTCTCCTAGCCAAGAATAGAGTCAGCCTGAAGCCTCAGAACTACTTCCCAGAGGGAGGAAGTTCTCTGTGTGCTGACATGGAAAGAGCTTCAATACATACCAAGTGGAAGGTGCAGAATATGATGCATTGTATACCGGTTGAGTATCCCTTATCTGAAATGCCTGGGACAGGAAGTGTTCCAATTTTTTTTTTATTTTGGAAATTTGCATTATATTTACCAGTTGAGCATTCCTAATCTGAAAATCTAAAATCCAAAATGCTCCAGTGAGCATTTCCTTTGAACGTCATATAGGTGCTCAGAAAATTCAGAAAATTTTGGATTTTGGAGCATTTTGGATTTTTGGATAAGAGGCACTCAACCTGTCCTATAACCAAGTAGAGAAAGAAACATAAAAATATTTGTTTATTTATGGATAGATGAGCTCTTCCATTTAGCGCTGCTGTCTCTTCTTCACCTCTGATTTTGTCTCTCTAAAAATACTTCTCTACATAGTGCATTCTAAATCTGGCCATCTGCTCCCTCTCATTCACCAATCATCAGCTCCATTCTGGCTTCTGCCCCACCATAACCCTTGTTAAGGCACTATGACCTCCCTGCAGCTAAGACAAGACACTCTCTTCAGTTCTCACCTAACTTACCTCCTTTGAAACACAATCTTCCCATGCTAGAGTAACCCTCCATTTTCCTCCATGTTCTTCTCATTTTCCACCATCTCCTTTGTATGCTAATTTTCCTCTATCTGATCTTTAATCCTTGAAGTTCCTGAGGGTTTAGTCTTAAACCCCCAATTCTTCTCACTCTGCCTCTTTCCACAGGCCAAATTCAATTACAAATTTATACTAGATGCAAGAGGTCTCCTCTGCTCTCTTCTCCCACTTTTGGGTAGCCTACTCAAAATAGCAACCTAGCTGCCTCAAAGTCAACATGTCTAAAGCCAAATTCATGATTATTCCCTCCAACCTGTTTAACCCATTGTTTCTGTAAATGGCACCAGTTCTCAATCAAAGCCTTAAGAAGTATCCTTACCACCGCTCTCTCTCAGCCCTCTCATCAATTAAATAAATATTCTACCACCTCAAAATGTCTTAAATTCATCTACTTCTTACCTCCCCTGTGAGTCCCAGCCCTGTCTACCTCATACCCCTGGCCACCAGTGATCAATACTTGAGGTGTTTCACTCTACCTCACATGAAAACTATCCCACACCAAGGGCGTCTTGTACCCTGATCACACTGGCTCCTCCTCTTCCCTCATAAACCTCATGGAAAGTGCTTTCTCCATTCTCCAGGCCTGATTAACTTCCTGCCTCCATGACTGCAGTAAGCCATGTAAGGTTTACCACCTCTAGTTTTGCCTCACTTTTTTTTTTTTTTTTTTTTTTTTTTGAGACAGAGTCTCGCTTTGTTGCCCAGGCTAGAGTGAGTGCCATGGCGTCAGCCTAGCTCACAGCAACCTCAAACTCCTGGGCTCGAGTGATCCTTCTGCCTCAGCCTCCCGGGTAGCTGGGACTACAGGCATGTGCCACCATGCCCGGCTAATTTTTTATATATATATCAGTTGGCCAATTAATTTCTTTCTATTTATAGTAGAGACGGGGTCTCGCTCTTGCTCAGGCTGGTTTCGAACTCCTGACCTTGAGCAATCCGCCCGCCTCGGCCTCCCAAGAGCTAGGATTACAGGCGTGAGCCACAGCGCCCGGCCTTTTGCCTCACTTTAAATCTATGCCGTTGGATGCTTCCAAAATGACCCTTCTTATTAAACTCAAATCACTTAAGAACTTCATGAATATAATGAGGACTGAACTCTAATTTTTTGCTAAAAACTCCTTCCTGGCCGGGCGCGGTGGCTCACGCCGTAATCCTAGCACTTTGGGAGGCCGAGGCGGGTGGATAGCTCAAGGTCAGGAGTTCGAAACCAGCATGAGCAAGAGCGAGACCCCATCTCTACTATAAATAGAAAGAAATTAATTGGCTAACTAATATATATAGAAAAAATTAGCCGGGCATGGTGGCGCATACCTGTAGTCCCAGCTACCCGGGAGGCTGAGGCAGGAGGATGGCTTGAGTCCAGGAGTTTGAGGTTGCTGTGAGCTAGGCTGACGCCATGGCACTCACTCTAGCCTGGGCAACAAAGTGAGACTCTGTCTCCAAAAAAAAAAAACAAAAAACTCCTTCCTAAGGAGGCCAGCTGGGTTAGGCTGGCAAATGGTAAGGAGGCCAGCAGGGTTAGGCTGACAAACAGGAAAATTCCCACTAAGCGGCTTTTGTTAACCAAACGAAGCAGTGGTTTACTTCCTGACCTGATTCTGGTATGGCATTAACATCACCTAAAAGATAAAAAGCCCCTGTCTTAACTCAAGCATCCTGGCAGATGCCTATCATAAATCTAAAATGTCTTAACTGAGCATCCTAGCAGGCGCCTATTCTTAAATTTAAAGCATCTTAAAACATCCTAGCAGGGGCCTATTGTAAATTTAAAATGTCCTCCTGTCTGGACCTCCCAGAGTGCCCACAACCTTATCTTAAAATAAGCATATCCTTTCTGGTCTTCTAGATAAAGTCTAACCCTCTCAGCCAATTGCCAGCCAAAAAATCTTTAAACCCACCTATAACCTGTAAGCCCCCCCGCTTCGAGATGTCCCACCTTTTTGGGCCAAACCAACGTATGCCTCTCATGTATTGATTTGTGACCTTGCCTGTAACCTTTGTCTCTCTGAAAATGTATAAAACTGAACTGTAACCCAGCCACAGCGAGACCACTTGCTCAAGGCTTCTTGAGAGTGGCTCTGGGTCATGGTCCTCAAATTTGGCTCAGAATAAACTTTTTTCAAATATTTCAGGGCTTAGATTTTTTCCGTCCACAATATTCTCTATGATAAATGAAAACATTACATTTAAATAAAGTCCCCTTTCAACAGACCCGTTCTCGATCCCATCCCAAATGTAACCGGTGTTAGCAGCTGAGGTGTGTCCTCTTTCCTCTGTGGCTTATACACGTTACACATAGACACACACACACACACAAGTTTTGTTAAACGTAAATGGTGACGTGTCATAATAATGCTCTGTAACTTGCTTTAGTACTTAATGTGCTTTGGAACTCTGTCCAAATCAGTGGTCTCTTTTGTTTTCAGTGTGACAGTGTCTGTCAGAGTAAGGACACATGGTAGCTTTAGCTATTCTTCTACTGAAGGACATTTAAATCGTTTCTGATTCAGATTAAAGTTTCTAAGCTATCAAGGACCATGCGATTCTCTGCTTAAATCCTTCAATGATTTCCATCCCCTGCCACAGAGCGCACATCCTAGAACTGTCCCAGAGCACTTCCTGCATGGCCCTTGCCCAGCTTTCTAGGCTCATTTCAGTCTCACCTCCTTCTTTCCCCAAATACATTCCCTGAGCTTTAGCCAGAATTAATTATTTGCAATTCCTTAAATACACTACATTTGTCGAATGAATACATGAAAATGCAGCCCTGTTCTGAAACAACAGGAAAAAGCAGAAGAGAGACCGAGAGTTTCATTTGTGAAGAGAATACAACAGAATAAGCAGAAGCTCCTATCTAAGAGCCTGGGCTTCCTCTTCCTCACCACTTCTGGAGGACCGAGAACCCTGAAGGGAGTTTCCCAACCCAAATCCAGGCTGCAGCTCCTCTTATTAACCAGATTTTTTTTTGTCGTCTGCAGTGATTCCCGGCACCTTGGGCCCACCCACTCACCTAGAGAGCAGCTGCTAGGACTTTCTCTCTCTACCTTCCAGGGATCTTCTCCTTGCTGCAACAGGGAGATCACTTTTGGTTTGGTAAATGGGAGTCCTGCTCATAGACAGAAAAAAAAACAAAATAAAAACCACAGACCTGATTTTGTTTTGACACAAAGAGTTTCGTTTCCCAGATTTAAGTGCCAAACCCAGAGGATGGTACAAAAAGCTTCTGTGGGTTGCTCAAGTTGTGCCCCCACGATGTAAGGGAATATGTTAAGGAAAAGGCAAATGACTTGCAGAACACGACTTTGGTATAATTAATTGTATGTTAGGGAGATAAGATAAGCACGCAGCCTTGGTAATTAATAGGCTGCCATTAGCTTTCCATAAAAAAGGGAACATGGGATGTACAGACTGAATAAAATTTGTAAGCAAGTATCTACAGAAAGGATTATGTACCAGGTAGCTTGTTTAAATGCGAAAACACTATCTGACTCCCTTTCAACAAGTGCAGCAGTCATCAAACTAAAGGTTGTGGGTCAAATCCAGACTACCGCTTGTTTATGCATGAACTTAAGGGCACAGAATGATGAAAAAAAAAAAGAGAACTATGTTATAGAGACCATTATGTGGCACACAAAGCCTAAAATATTTACTACCTGGCTCTTTACAGAAAAAGTCTGCTGACTCCTGGAAAAGACAAGAGGGAAAGGTAAGTGGTAGGTCGAGGTTGAACAAAGCCCTTTTGAGAGATGAGCAAACCAATCACAGAATAATCTTTGTGGGGAAATGATGCCTTAATCATGTGCAATTATACAGAGGGAAGGGGATGATTATCAGTGCCACCTCCCCCATTCCCATACATGGGGCAATTCCATACCCACTGGGGGAATATGTTTGTGATCTTTAGTTTTAGAGATCTGATTTGTATAATCCTCAAACTCAGCTAAAATGTTTAGATGACCTGCAGCTCTTACTCAGGGAAGAAGGTGCTGCGATACTGCAGTTTGTGTAGTCTGTGTCTGCAGAGGAAACGCCCTTACCCAGGGAGAGCAGGTTGCTATAGTTCTCCAGCATCACATCCCGGTACAAGTTTCTCTGAGAAGGATCCAGCTTTCGCCACTCATCCCGACTGAAGAGCACGGCCACATCCTCGAACACCAGCGACACCTGCAAGGACAAGCCATTCCAGCTCACCCAGACCGCCCCTTGGAGTGAAGAGGGCAGCAGTGCGGGAGGCAGCCAGCGTACCCACGAAATGCTTCTGATACTATTCAAGGTCCTGAAAATTCCTGGCCATTTGTATAATGAATAATCAACCAGTAACAGACATATATTGAGCAGCATAAAGCATGAACCAGGCCTTGTGTGAGCCACTATAAGGGATGTGTAGAAGGACTAAGACCATTAGTGGGAGTGTTAATTAGAATAATCTTGCTGATGGTGATTTGAAAATACATATTAAAAAGCTTATAAATGTGTATATTCTTTAACTCACCAATTACTGTTTGTATTATAATGAACAGCGAACAAAAGTACACACACGCAGTTACTTATTATAGTGTTTATAATAGAAAAAAATGGAAACAATCTAAATACTCACTGATAGAGATTAGGTTAAATAACTTTTTTTTTTTTTTTTTTTTGAGACAGTCTGGCTCTGTTGCTTGGGCTAGACAGCCGTGGCATCGGCCTCACTCACAGCAATCTCTAATGCCTGGGCTCAAGTGATCCTCCTGCCTCAGCCTCTGGAGTATATGGGACTATAGGTGTACACCACCATGCCCAGCTAATTTTTTCTATTTTTCTTGCTCAGGCTGGTCTCGAACTCCTGAGCTCAAGAGATTCTCCTGCCTTGGCCTCCCTAAGTGCTACAGGCATGAGCCACTGTGCCCTGCCTAGATTAAATAACTTAAGGCACTATATGTCTGCTCACTCAAACTTGAGGATAGTAATTATAAAAATTAAAATAGCTATTAATATAATTTATTGAATGTTTTATATAGGCCAAATACTTCTCTTAGAGCTTTAATCTTTAGTGTATATTCTTTATTTAATCTCTACAACAATCCTATAAAGAAGGTCCTATTAATGTTTCCATTTTATACAAGAAAAAACAAAGTCACAGAGAAGACATGAAATTTGTCCAAGTCACGTAGATGGTGTAGAAGTGGAATTCCCATTGAGGTGAATGTCCAAGGCTCCATTTTTAATACTTCGCAAAACTGCCTTGTAATGTCTACCTCATAGGGTTAAGAAATAATGTTCAATGAAGATGGATAGTGATGCCAGTTACACAACAATGTGAAAGTCCTTAAAATATCAGTGAATTATACACTCAAAAAGGGTTAAAATGGTAAAATTTCATGGTATATATATTTTGCCACAATAAAAATTGGTGAAAATGGCAAAATAAACACATACATACAGACATATGCACACAAATAGATGGGCATAGAAAATGATTCTGAGGGATGCATTCTAAAGGGCCCATAGTGACTATCTCTAGATGTTACATACAGTAAGAGTGATTTTACTTTTTTATATATGTATTTTTTTCCTCTAAATTATTACAATACATGTATGATATGAAAAAATTTATTGACACTGGCACATGGGGGAATAAAAGAAATTATCTTTGCCCTCAAAGAATTTACAGTCCAACTCGCAGACAAAGAAAACACAAGAAATAATTTGAACAATGAAAGAAAACCATGTAACTGGACAGGAGTGTATGCCACCTCCTAGTTCCACCCTCATACTGCAAATGAGGAAAATAAGGTCCACAGCAGCCAAGACCCCAGGCCACATGCTTTATTAGTGGCAGAAGCATAACTAAAAATTTCTAACTATGAACCCACAACTTGGTATGTTCTCTTTCTGATATATATATATTTTTGAGACAGGATCTCACTCTGTTCACCCAGGCTAGATTTCAGTGGCATGATCATAGCTCACTATATCCTCCAAATCTAGGGATCAAGCAATTCTCCTAGCTCAGCCTCCTGAGTAGCTGGGACTACAGTACATTCCACCATACCCAGCTAATTTTATGTGTGTGTGTGTGTTTTCCTGTACAGACTGGGTCTCACTATGTTGCCCAGGCTAGTCTCGAACTCCTGGCCTCATGTGATCCTCCTGCCTCAGCTTCCTAAAGTTCTGGGATTATAGGCATGAACTACTGCACCTGTTCTTACATTTCCTGTCACTGAATTTTACATACAAGTCCACAAGGTATTGATGTACGGGCAGCAGATGTGGTTAGAAAGGACTATGGTATTCACTCGCACACAAAGATGGAGAAGATTCTGGGCAGGAGAGCAACCTGGTTCTGTTGCAATAGAATGGGAAAACCTTAAAGGAAAAAGAACAGACCAATTATGCAATTATGCAATGGCAGGCCCTGGCTGTAGCCTCAGATCAGATCCCACTGCATTTGTGGGTCCAAAAGATAATGCCACGTTATGGAGGAGCTTTGGTAACATGTGGCTGGTGCTCTGAAAGACATATCACAGTTGCAGCTGGATGGCCTGAGCATGGACTGAGGGTCATATACCTCAGCGGGAATTCAGGTGTTAGATGAAGATGGGCAAAGAAAAAACAAGTATTTTCTGGGTGCTAGAAATACTGTGTAGCAATTTCTATCTATTAACATTAATAGTATTATTAACAATACTATTATTATTATTGATAATAGTATCACTCAGCTCCCACAACCACCACATATTGAGCAGTTACCATGGTAACCTGAATTCGGATCCCACCCTGATCTAAACACTTTCCAGGCACTAACTCAGGTTAACTCTCCCCTACGCTTGGAGGTAGGCACAGTTGTTATTCCCATTTTATAGGTTAGGAAACCGGGGCACAGAGAGGTGGAGTGATTTGTCCCAGGCTCACAAACAGCAAGAGAGATGGCCTCCCCAATACCAATACTCCACACAACCCTCCCTTTGGCTTCCTGAGGGGTCTTCTCCCTCCTCTCAGAGGCAGGAGACCTCTTCACTGTGGCCTCCGCGACACAGCTCCCCTAGGTTCAGGCACTATCTCACCTGGATGGCGTGCCTCCCCCTCTCCCCAACAGAAAGATAAAAACAGCAGGTCTACATCAGTTTTCCAGAGTGGACAAACAAGGCACACGATCCGTAAAGTTAAGAGGGAGATAAAACTAAAAGCCGTAAGTTGGAGAAGACTGGGGAAGGTACCGTAAGAATTCTCAGGAGCAGAAAGGAAAAGCAAAGCATTCTCACCGGGGGCTGGAAGGGAGACATGGATGAGTGAAGGAGTCAGGGCCCGAAAGGATTTTTCCCAGGTGTGTATGTCTGCTCTATCCCTAGTGACATTAAGGACACAGGCATCTTACCTATCAAATCAGTAACCACAGGGTGGACTGAGATGAGTGAACAAAAGTGTGTCCGGCAGGGAAAGAAGAGAACACCAGACACACGCGGACTGGGAGGGCAGGGAAGCATTCCCTGAGCACCCGCCATCCCAAGGTAAAAGGGCGTCTGCTCTGAAACCTGGCGACGACTGCACTGGGTAGAGAACTTCAGTTTAACTACTGAAGTAGTTAAACTTCAGTTTTAACTACTTTAAAACTGAAGGTTAAACACGACAACAACAAAATCCATCCACTAGGAACAGAGACGGCAACGAGCTCACCTGAGACCTTGCCTCCCTTTGCTCTGCAGCCATGTCCCCCTCTGGGCTCCTCCCCTGGATGGGCGCAGTCTCCGGAAGGTGGCAGATCTGCGAGAAGGAAAGGGGGGCAGGAGGAAGCGCCTTCGCCTCCCACCCCGAGAGGCAGCAGCCCCGACATCCCTACAGCACCTGAGAACGACCCCACGTGCCGCCACAGAGGGAAGGGCTCCTGCGGGCTCCGAGTCTCCACGGGCGGCAGCGACCCCCTCACGTCGTCGGTCCCGCAGCGCCAGCTGCCACTGCCGGCGCCCCCATTTTACAGATCGGGAAACCGAGGGCGGAGTGGGGGCGGCACGGCGGACCGGGGCCTGCGCACCTGCTCGCGCCTCGCCGTCCGCTTCCTCCTCCCCAGGCGCCCCCGCCCGGCTCCCGACTCTCACCCTAAGCCAGCCACCCCGCGGAAGGGGACCGCCGGGGAACCGGCACACGAACCGGGGTCGCGGTGGGCCCGGCCGGGGGAACCGGCACAGGAACCGGGGTCGCGGCGGGCCGGGCCGGGGGAACCGGCACAGGAACCGGGGTCGCGGCGGGCCCGGCCGGGGGAACCGGCACACGAACCGGGGTCGCGGCGGGCCCGGCCAGGGGAACCGGCACACGAACCGGGGTCGCGGCGGGCCCGGCCGGGGGAACCGGCACACGAACCGGGGTCGCGGGCCCGGCCGGGGGAACCGGCACACGAACGGGGTCCGCGGCGGGCCCGGCTCGGGGAGAACCGGCACACGAACCGGGGTCTCGGCGGCCCGGCCGGGGAGGAACCGGCACACGAACCGGGGTCGCGCGGCCGGGCCGGGGGAACCGCACACGAACCGTGGGTCGAGGGCCCGGCCGGAGGAACCGGCACACGAACCGGGTCGCGCGGCCCGCAGGGGAACCGGCACAGAACCGCGTTCTCGGTGGGCCCTCGGCCGGGGGAACCGCACACACGAACCGGTCCGGTGGGGCCGGCCGGGGAACGGCACAGAACCGGGTCGCGGGCCCGGCCGGGAACCGGCACAGGAACGGGTCGCGGCCGGCCGGGGGAACCGGCACACGACCGGGGGTCCGCGGCGGGCCCGGGCCGGGCGGGAACCGGCACACGAACGGTCGCGCGGGCCGGCCGGGAACCGGACGCGAACGGGGTTCGCGTGTGGTCTGGCCGGGGAACGCGCCACAGGAACCGCGGTCGCGGCGGGCCGGCCGGGGACACGGCACACGGAACCGGGTCGCGGGCGGGCCGCCGGGGACAACCGCGGCACCGAACCCGGGGTCGCGGCGGCCGGCCTGGGAAACGGCACAGGAACCGGGGCGCGCGGTGGCCCGACCGGGGAACCGGCACACGAGAACCGGGTGCGGGGCCGGCGACCGGGGAACGGCAACAGGAAACCGGGTCGCGGCGGGCCGGACGGGGAACCGGCACAGGAACCGGGTCGCGGCGGCCGGCCGGGGAACCGGCACAGGAACCGGTCCGGTGGCGGCGGGGAACCGGCACACGAACGGGTTGCGGGGCCGGCCGGAGGAACGGCACAGGAACCGGTCGCGGCGGGCGGGCCGGGGAACCGGGACGCGAACCGGGGTCGCGGCCGCGCCGCGCTGAGAGGAGACGCGGCGCGGCGGGAGCGCGCCCGCGGCGGCCGCAGGCAGGGGAGGCGGCCGCGCCGCGGGACCGGCCGACCTGACGCGCCGGGGCCGCCGGCGACAGCCGCCGAGGGCCCGCCCGCCCCACAGGCCCGCGCCCGGCGCCGCGTCCCCCCGAAGCCCGGGTCCGCCGCTCACCTCCCGGGCTCCGGGTTCCCGAGGGCCGCGCCTCCCCGAGGGCCGCGCTCGCAGGCGGGAGGCTCGGAAGCGCCCCCGCCGGGCAGCAGCAGCCTGGCGTCCGGCCTCCACGGCTGAAGACTGGGCGAACCTCAGGCCCCGCGGCCGCTCACCCCGCGGCGAACGCTCCGCCGCCCGCTCAGGTCCGGGGGCGGGGCTGGGCGGCCGCGCGGGCCTCTGGGAAATGTAGTCCACGGGGGCGGGGGGGCGAGGGAACCAGAGCATTCTGGGAAGTGTAGTTCTCCCGCTAGTCTGCTTAGGCCGGACGTGGACTGAGCGGTCGGATATGTGCGGTCGCCCGCCAGGTGAGGGCCCTAGTGCGCTGTAGGGCTGCGGGTTCCCTGGGACGAGGGAAGGGACGAGGGCGGAGTCTTGTAGCTTTGTGTCTGTGTGAACGCTGGGAGGGCTCTAGATGCTGGCCAGGAACCCACCCATTCCCCAGAGCAGCCCTGAGCAGCGGGTGTGGGCCAAGCGCCATTGCAAGGGGTTTGAAATGCACCCCTGCACGAAACGAATTGTCGCCCAAGAGGATGCTTTTGGGGGTGTGGGGAGCAGGCGACAAGCGGTGAACACAGGGTTATATCATCTTAGGGAGCAAATGTGAAGGAAAAGCCAAGCAGAGCAAGGTTGGGGGCATCCGGGCGAGTGGGGAGGGCGAGTGGGGCGGCCTCGCTGGACAGGTGAGGAGGAGAGGAGAAGATTCTGACGCTGTGCAGGGGGAGCCGGGAGGGGCCTTCCCGGTGCTGAGGAGCCAACGCATATATATATATTTTTTAGATAAATCTTTTCAGTTATAAAAAGAACACACGTCCTGTTTAGAAGGTTTGATAAAAATGGGGAAAGTGAAAGAAAAATGTTGCCCATGCCACCATGCAGAAATAGTAGTTAGCATTTTGGTGAACATCTTGTAAGAGCCCTTTAAAGTCCATTTTAATCTTTCAGTCATGACTGCCGCTCTCCTTTCAACAAAATGAGATATTAGAGTTGGCACTTGAGACCTTTTTGGGTCTCCTCCCCGTTTAAAATATGCCTTGAACACTTGAATTTGCCAATAAATATTCTTCTTCGGTAGTATTTCAATAGCTTCAGAGCACTACCAGGCTGGCTGAGCAAACACCCTTTTCATATGCTAACATGTGCTAAGAAGGGGCGGTCATTATAATTCTCTAAGCCAATTATCAGGTTGGGTGTAGAAATAACTTTACATAATAGTCCATACTAGCTTGCAGTCCCACCAGCAGTGTAAGAGTGTTACTCTCTCTCTGCATCCACGCCAACATTTATTGTTTTGGAACTTTTTGATAAAGACCATTCTCAGTGGAGATAAGTGATATCTCCTTGTGGTTTTGATTTGCATTTCCCTGATGATTAGAGATGTTGAGCATTTTTCATATGTTTGTTGGCCATTCTTCTGTCTTCTTTTGAAAAGTTTCTGTTCACGTCCTTTGCCCACTTTTTGATAGGGTTGTTCGATTTTTTCTTGCTGATTTTCCTGGGTTCTAAATAGATTCTAGTTATCAGCCCTTTATCGGATGTGTAACATGTGAATGTTTTCTCCCACTCTGTAGGTTGTCTGTTTGCTCTCGTGATAGTTTCTTTGGCCTTACAGAAGCTTTTTAATTTGATCACATTTATTTGTTTTTGTTGTTGTTAATTGCCTTTGGGGTCTTACTCATAAATTCCTTGCCTAGGCCAATGTCTAGAAGAGTATTTCCAAAGTTTTCTTCTAGAATTCTTATAGTTTCATGCCTTAGGTTTAAGTCTGTTATCTAGTGTGAGTTGATTTTTGTGAGAGGTGAAAAGTGCGGATCCTGTTTCAGTCTTACATGTAGCGATACACAGTTCCCACAACAACATATAGGAGAGAAAGACTCTTCCCCACAGTATATCTGCGTCGGCAAAGACAAAAAGGAGATAGCAAGATGGTTTTATATCTAGGTTCTCAGTTCTGTCTCATTGGTTTATGTCCCTATTCTTATGCCAGTTCCATGCTGTTTTACTTATATTATAGCCTTTTAGTATACTTTGAAGTCTGGTAAATTCATGCCTCCCATTTTGTTCTTCTTGACTAGCATTATTTTTGCTATACGGGGTCTTCTCTGGTTCCATACGAAGTATAAAATTATTTTTTCTATATCTGTGAAAAATGATGTTGGCATTTTAATAGGGATTGCATTGAATATATAGATCACTTTGAGTAGCACAGATATTTTAACAATGTTGATTCTGCTGACCCACGAGCATGGTATATTCTTCCATCTATTTACATCCTCTGCTATTTCCTTCTTCAGTGTTTCATAGTTCTCCCTGTAGAGGTCTTTTAGCTCCTTAGTTAAATATATTCCAAGGTACTTTATTTTCTTTGTTGCTATTTTGAAGGGTATTGAGTCTTTGATTTGGTTCTCAGTTTGACTGTTATTGGTGTATATGAATGCCTCTGATTTGTGTGTATTGATTTTGTATCCTGAGACTTCACTGAATTCATTTATCAATTCTAGGAGTCTCTTGGTTGAATCCTTGGGGTTTTCTAAATATAATATCATATCATCAGCAAAGAGTGAGAGTTTGATCTCTTCTGCTCCCATTTGGATGCCTTTAATTCCACTTTTCTCATGATTAGACTGCGGAGGGGGAGGAGAGATCACCTCCAGCCCCGCTTAGCTCTTAGTGGGCTCCTTGACTAGATCTACGAACCAAATTGACACCAGACAGACGAAGAAGAGAAAAAGCACACGCAATTTGTTAGTTTTACATGCCCATGAGGATCTTCACAAGAGAGTGAAGTTTGAAGAAGTGGCCAAAGCAAGATGCTTTTATACTTTTTAGACAGAGAATGGGGTACAGCTAGTGGAGGCGAGATTTACTTTGGGAAGGTTATTTATGCAGGTCCATTGCAACCCAGCTCCCGGTCTCTGGTGATAAGGCTACTTCCTCTCCCTGGCATGGAGGGGGGCACCCCTTCCAGAGGAATCTTTACTGTTCACTGCTCACAGGAAGAGACAGCTCAGCTTACCCTTTCTGAGACAATTCTCCAGTGTTTTCAATTCAAAATAACCAGCCTACAAATTCGGCATATTCTGGGGTGGCACATACTTCACTCCTTCACCTGTCATCATGGTTTTCGGGGGAGAATCTCACAGGGTTGACGCGTCCTCATCGCCTCATGTCAGGGATATGTGATATCAACGCGTGTCATCGATCATGTTGACCTCATCACTTGCTTAGCGTGGTGCTCACCAGCTTTCTCCACTGTCAGGATTATTTTCCCCTTTCTGTGTTCTCTGGAGGCGAGTCACTAAGTCTAGCGCACCCCCGAGGTGGGAGGATTAAACTTCACCTTCCGGTGTGCAGGGGCACACCTACATATATCATTTCAAATTCTTCTGTAAGGAAGTTTGTTCCTTCCCGCCATTCATTTGTTTATTCAATCACCCGCTTTCATCGGTAGGGACTCATTTCCATTTATTTCATGCTTGGGTTATGACCCAAACCACTCTATTTGGTGCTCGAATTGTTCTAGCTTTGGCCTCAGGAGCCTTTTCACACTGGCTGCTGTGCTCTTTGACACACGCCTGTCCCCTTTTCTTTTTGTTTTTCGTTTTCTTTAGCACACCCTTACTGCCTCGCAGTACAGGATGCTCCGGGCCCATCTCATGTCTTCCCTGTCCCAGGCCTGGGATCAGCCTCATCTTCGAGCAGCCACAACCGGCGTGAAGTCCAGAGCGAACAAAAGACAGTCCTTTTGGCAACACGCTCAGTGAGGCCCTGCGGCTCACACGGGAAGAGTGTAGACAGCCCGATCATAATAGGAACCAGAGTTCACCAGTTAGGCAAAACCGGTTTTCCGTATTCATGTGGCAGAAGGTTAACTACCAGGACAAAGCCATCTGCTGAAGACTGTATAGACACCGTGAGACAGAAAGTACTGGAAAGCCTAGCTTCCTCCCTGATGCACGAAGAAACAAAAGAATACAGGCAGGACAACGACAATTTCTAGAAGTTTGCAATAAGCAGACGATGGCAGGAAGGGCCTCTTCAGCTCATCAGAGACATTACCAGGCTCTCCGGAAGACTTCCTGGTAGGCCTAGCCTTGGGGTGGACGCTGGAAGGACAAGTTGAGGGGAAGTGATTCCACGACACTGGAAAATACCTTCAAGGCTGGGACCCTCTCCAGGGAGAGTGGCCTCTGGGGACCTGTTCTGTGAAGAGGCCTGAGCCTCTATTTCAACACTCACTGAGCTGAAGTCCAACTTTTCCAATTGTTTTAATTGTCTTGCAAAGAGCTGGTCTCCCATGGTTAATTAGCAGGAGTGGGAAACTGCCTACAGGAAGGAGGGAGTGGTGGGGGCCTCAGGGGGTCCTCCCAGCAGGAGAGGAGGCTCTTGGCACAGGTTGGTGCCTGCTAGCTCAGGCCCTGGAGGGTAAATCACCAGACACAATCCTGATGTCCCCGCTGCCCCCTGGGGACTCTGCCAGCCTGGCACTGTGCCTGCTTCTCGAGGAAGAGGATGCTGGCAGCCCGGCGTGAGGCTGAGCTCCAGCTGTGAACAGTGCATGTCCTGCGAGTGCCTCACGCTGCCTGCAAACCGCGGCAGGGGTGACGCTACCCGAGCCCCGGAGCGCCCTCCTTTCTGCATAGCCGCCGGCCTGAGAAGGGATGCGGGCAGCCCAGGGAAGACGCAGTAGACGGTGGCCGCCAGCAGCAGGAGGTGTAAAGACCCGAGGCTGATGTGGCATGAACCCGTGCACGACCTCTCACACTGTGGCCAGGCCGACAAGGACAGGGGCCTGTCCGCTTTCTGCACACGCCACGCTGCTGAACTTTTAGGGGCTCCTTTCCCCCTTTCAGGCAGGCTTCTCGGTGTGGCACGTGGTGACTTCTTCCTGGGGTGAACCGGGTTGGGGGGACCATGTGGGTGCAGGTGAGTTTGCCTTTGACTCTGCACCTGCAGTCTGCTCATGGGCTTGCTTCCGTCCCCACTCTCCTCCCCACAGCGAGAGCAGAGGGAGGGAGAGACACTGAGCAGTAAAAGCCAAGTCATGCCTCAGCCCTGCAGCCTCCTTGGGTGCTAGAATTTAGTGAAATCTTTCCACTACTCCAGCTCCCTCGGTTTTGAATTTTACTGCTCTGACGTTTGCTGTCTAGGAACGCGCACTTCCCAGCTTCCCTTAGGCTGTCATCCCTGCTTTCCAATACATGATGATTTAGGAGGACGAAAACTCTACCGAGCACTGGAGACGTTACTTCCAATGTACGCCGTGGGACTTTCTCAGAACGAGCATGTAATGGAGTAACAGGATGGGATTCTATGCAGACATGGGGCATGCAAGGGAGAATATGCTGAGACCAAAATGAGCCATACGACCTCAAACGCCAACACTTAGTCCGTGTTATGACATCTCAAACCTTTGTACTGAACCACCTCTAAAATCAGACTGGCTGTTCAAAAGGACACGCCAAGTTTGTCCCATGTAGCCAGGTTGCCATGGCACCCAGATGTCCCCTCCTGGGAGCCCACACACTCCAGGCTGAGAAGCCCTTGCTGGGTGCTCAGCGCACGTCTGTGGGGTGTGATTGCTAAACGAGCTAAGGGAAATGGACAATTATTAGGGTTTCAAAAAAATCAGGGGAGTCTTTCAACAGAGACTGATGAAGGAAGGAGGAAGAGAATCAGGAGAGACAAAGCGTGAAAGATATAAATAAGTGGGTTGATAAGAAATAAAGCTGTAAGTATAGGTTGAGGCCAAATCATGTCAGGCATTGTGTTTGGAAGCAAGAATATTTGGACTTATCTCGAGGTCTTCAATATTCTGTCTGTGGATGGGCTGACAGGTCCCAGTCAGTGTTCAAGGAGGATGGAACTGACCCTGTGGGCAGGATAGAGATGTGCAGGGAGAGGCAGGGGCAGTGAGGTTCACCAGGAGCCTCTTGTGGTTGAAGGTCAGTGTCAGGACCAAGTCAGGAAGGGCCAAGAGTGAGGACAATGAGCACTGATAGCCCCAAGAGCAGAATGAATTGAGAAAGGAGAGGAGGAGAGGGAAGAGGGCCAGCAAGGGGAGGGCCATTGGAGACTGGTCCCTGGAGACTTAAGTGAGTACCCTCTGGACATCAGGAAAGAGAAGGTGGGAACGGGCCTGGTAGGCTCGTAGTCCCCAGTTGTAGAATAGAAGCTTGGACTACAGGACACTTGGCCCTGCAGAGTACAGCAACTCTAGACTTGGAACCAGGAGTCCTGGGTTCAATCAAGTCCTATAATTAGTTCATGTCCCTGTGTCCCTAAGGTGCTATAGTAAGTCTAGACACCTCAGCTCGGAGGGAATCTCTGCTTCCTGCAGCCCACTTAAACTTGAAGGGTACCCCAGGGTTCCTTGAGAAAGTATAGTTGCTATCTGGTGCCTCTTCCTTCCTGTTCCTGGCTGATAATTGTGCTGGGTAACAAAACACCAAAAAGGTAGATTGGGCTGTGGGGTTGGGCAGGCTAAGGGTAGGGTTTGATTGTGAGAAGTTGGAGAGGGACACAAGCCTAGGACACAGGAAGAAATACCTGACTCAGTGATGACCAAAGATTTTAACAGCAGACAAGACAAGTCAGTAATCAACAGTTACTAGGACCGCCCTGGGCAAGGCAGCCTTTCTGTGAGTCTAGAAATGGGATAATTGTGGAAATGGGATAATTGTGTGAGGCTATCGAGAGCAATTGACTCTGAGAGTCTGCTCTGAAGTCCTTTGAAATTCCCAGATCATTGTGGCTGCTACTGTCTTAAGAGGGTTGCCGGACCCATCTGATAAAATAGATTCACATGTGTCTGACCCTCAGTTTTTTTCTTGTTTGTGAAATGAATGCCTTAGAACCAGACCTTTTTATAAATAACAATTTAATAGTTTTATAATATATGTACAGCCTCATTATCTAAAATCATGATCATGATCATGTATCGCCAATAAGAGGTGAGTTTTGCAACTATTGCTGTCCCCCCTTCTCTGTTTGTAAAATGAACAAATGTATGATTTCCAAGAGTCCTCTCAGCTCTAAAAATTATAATTCTAGAACCTGAGAATTAGTTTCTTTATGGCTCCCTTCATGTCATGATTCCGGAGGCTGTAGATGAAGGGATTGACCAGTGGTGTCACCACTGTGAAGATGACAGTGGCCACCGTGTCCTGAACTGAGTAGGAGGAGGAAGGGTGCATGTACACGCCCAGGACAGCCCCGTAGAACAGGGACACCACAGTGAGGTGGGAGCCACACGTGGACAGGGCTTTCCTTATCCCACGGACAGACGGCGACCTCAGGACCGTGGAGAAGATGCAAGCATACGAAACAACGATGCATGTAAATGGTGTCAGAAATACCAGTGCAGTCACAGTGAAGCGCATCATTTCATTGATAAAGGTATCAGAACAAGAGAGCCTCAGAATAGCATCAGGGTCACAGAAGAAGTGGTGCACGGCATTGTCGGAACAAAATGTGAGTCGGACCATGAGAATGGTGTGGAGAAGAGCATGCAGGTGTGTGATGAGCCAGGACACGGCCACCAGAAGGACACAGAGTCTGGGCCTCATGCGCATGGCGTAGTGCAGTGGGCAGCACACGGCTACGTAGCAGTCGTAGGCCATCACGCTCAGGAGGAAGCCGTCCATGTTGCCGAAAGTGAGGAGGAAGTAGATCTGCGTCATACATTCCGCATATGACATAGACTTGCTTCCCAGCACGTGATTCACCAGCATCTTGGGGACGGTGACCGATGAAAAGCAGATGTCAACACAGGAGAGGTTGGCCAAGAAGAAGTACATGGGCGTATGGAGATGACTGTCACAGCTGATGGCCAGCGTGATGAGCATGTTCCCAGCGATGGTGACCAGATACATCCACAGGAAGAAACCGAAGAGAACCTCTTCCTGCTCTGGCTGCCCAGAGAGTCCCAGGAGAAGGAATTCTGTGAATCCAGTCTGGTTGTTTCTGTCCATGTCTGTCGGGGGGAAATGTGGTTAGAAGAAAGATTTAATTTACTGGGCTCCGACTATTGTTTAGAGATTGCAAATTTTAATGACACCACATCATGGGTTTATTAATATCATTTCAAATATAAAATCAAATAAGATTGGTAATGTCATCATCTGAGCAAAATTTTATGTTATACGTTTTGTTTTGTTTGGGAATTAATTCACATTAGGTAATTCCATGGAGTTAGTATTATGGACATCAACAGCTGGTTAATTTTAATGTTTAATTATGTTTGCTTACATATAGCTTTACTTCACTAACATTTACTAAACAGCTAGTATGTACCAAGTACTTTCACATACATTCTTCTTTTGACCTATGAATGATGATAAGATCAGAGACTCAGAGATTTAGTGACAGTCCCAACAGACATTTACAGTCCCTAAAAGAAAAAAAACATTTCTTTAAATTCCTCCCTGGTTTCCCTTCCAGATTTTGTTTAACTACCATTTGTTGACTAACCTAGTGCCAGGCACTGTGCTCTTGCTTGGTTTGCATTTCCATTTATCCATATTAGAATCTCAGGTAGATAAAAGAGCTTCATTTAGAAGAAGGAAGAAGGTAAAGCAAGACATTTAGAATTTTTGTTTAGGTCATAAATGCTTTTACCTGTATAAAGTTATTTAACAAGACTCCCTCAATTCCTGTAGGTCTCTTACATTTTCCCAGACATTACTGCTTGTAGGCTTGAGGGATCTCCCTGATGGTCCGTCCTCACAAACTAGACTGACAGCATCAAGATGCCTTGTTGGTCTTGTTGAGCGAAGCTTGCGGGTGAGGTTTCTACGTGCACGAGTCTGCCAAGAGAATTCTGTTTCCCCTTATGCTAGCCACAATAAGAGAATCAGTTCGTGTTTAGGACTCAGTATTATTTTTAGAGATTGAAAGGAGAGATTTATAGAGAGCAAAATCATGGGTATATTAAACCATGAATCCAGCATTTAGAAATTATACTGTTGCAAAAGCACTGTGCTTCGATAATCCTTAAAGGAAGTCACAGTGTTTAAAGGCGTTGGTTTAAAAAAAAAATAATTCACAGTGTTTCGATAATAAACAAGAGAGGAGATAGAATTTCTGGAGAGGGTAAAGCCCCAATCCTCTCCACTTGCTCTGGCCATGTAGGCAGTATAGACAGCATAACCTATAGACGGCAGTATAGACATATACATATAGACGTATAGGCGAGTCATAGCAGCATAGACAGTTAGGCAGTATAGACAGTATAGACACTATAGACAGTATAGGCAGCATAGACAGTATAGACACTATAGACAGTATAGACAGTATAGAACTTAGAGCTATAGTCAGTACTAGACAGTAATAGAACACTATAGAACGTATCAGGCAGTATAGACGTATGCATAAGACAGTACTTAGACAGTATATGACATGACGTCATAAGCTATACGAACGCTATAGACAGTAATAGACCGTGTATAGAAGCACATTTGGGAGACAGGGGTTGGAGGTAGATCCCTCGGGACAAGTGAAGAGTCCCTAGCATCTTGAGAGTTAAAGGGCAAAGACCCGTGTAAAATTGGGGAAGATCTGAAGTTATTTTCTCACAACTTACAGCACAGACTGCAGGTGGCGGGACGGGACTAGGCTGTGTCCAGAGATATGGAAGGAAGGTGCCCGGGAGGGGCTGACTCTCGTGGAATGTGGAGTTGGGGCTCGGCGTGGCGTCAGGGAAGGCGCAGCAGTGTTCGCGCAGCGCCGTCCTGGCGCGCCGAGGCGCACATGGGCACGGCCTGACTCGCTGCCCGCAGCGGGAATGGCGGGGGGGGGGGGCAGGCGGGTGGCGTGGGCTCTCCGTGTGGTCTGTCCCCTGCGGATAAGCGGGAGACGCAGCAAGACCAGCTGTGAAGACTCCAAACCGCGCGGGGCGAGCCCCGGGCACGGGTGTGGGCCATGTGCGTCCGCGTCTGCTGATGACCCGGCCCGCGAGACCCGCCGGCCCGGCCCGGGTCAGTCCGCGGAGGGACGGAGACACGAGGGGCGGCTGTCGAGAGGAGGGGCCGGGCCTCCTGTCACAGGCACCGGGAGGGGACAGAGGCTCCCGGCCCTGCAGGCGGAGGGCTCTGAGATCGCCCCGGACACGGCGGCGCTGGGGGGACGCGGACACGGTGTTTGGTTCTTGCAGGCGCGCGCCCCTGGGCGAAGGCACGTCTGGGGAAACCTCGTGCGCACTGAGCACAGCAGAGAGAGCAGAGCAGGGGTGGGGACACCGAGAGGCCCCGCGTGCTGGCGCGACCAGGGCGTGGCCGGTGGCCCCCGGAAGGCACCAGGCTCGGATCACAGGGCTGCTCCCACGGCAGAAGCGACGCCTGCAAAGGAAGCGAACGCTTCCTGCCAGGGGCTCCGGGCGACGGAGGGTGACGGCGGGGTCTCCCACCAGAGACCCCCGAACACGCGGCCCCGCACAGCCATCTGCCCGCGTCCCCAGAGCTGGCGAGTCCGGCCACGCAGCGGGGACAGCCGGGCGGCAGGAGGGGCGGCGTCCCTGCGCGGTGGGGACCGGCACCTCCCGGACCCCTCCTTCCCCGACCAGCTCGGGAGACGGGCTTGGGAGAGGACAGGGGCGGGGGCCAAGCCTCAACCCGCGTCCCCGCCACCCGTCCTCCAGCCGGGAAACACTCGGGACGGGGGACGGCTGACGTGGGTATTGGTGACCGAGAGGGACTTCAGTGCGTCATGCCCAACACGCTGGGGTCTGGCCAGGACATTTCAATGAAAGCAGCTGAGAGAAGATGAGTTACGAGAAAACAAAGGCTGTCACGTCCTGGTTTGAACCCCAACACGCTGAGAGTCCCGGGAGTGGGTCACACTGCAGGCGCCTGTCACTCTGAGTGGACACTCGCCACCCGCCTCTGGATGCTGCTTTCGCTCAGCCCTGGGCTGCCTCGGAGGGGCGGCCCCTGCCAGCCCTGGGCAAAGCGTCGGGTTCCTGTGACTTAGACAAGTTGATCCTGCTGTCCTGCCTGTGAGTCGGTCGCCCAGGGACGGTGGCGGCGACAGCTGACCTGTCAGCAGCGTGAGTGATTCCGTCTCCTAGACTCACACCAGGGCTGTCCGCCCGGCCCCCCGGCCCGCCGGCCGCACCCGCGCGTTCCGCAGGGCCCGAGTAGCTCCCTGGGTCCTTCCCGGAGTGGCCACAGGCCGAGGTGGCAGAGCACAGACAAGCGTGTGGCACAGAGTGACATCAGGGCGGGCGCCGCGGTTTGTGGGGACGAGACTCTCTCGTGGTGGGGGAGGGGCTCTGGGCTCCCAGCTCCTGACCAGGCTTCAGGAGTCTACATGGCTGAGCTGCGCTGCGAGCCCGCTGCTCCCTTCCTTACCTGCCCTCCTTCCCACCGTGCACCTGCCTGCCCGTCCCCAGCGGCTGCGTCCTGACGGGAGAGGGCTGTACACGCAGACCGAGAGTCGCTGCCCGCTCTCTGTAGCGGCTAGATGCAAAGGGTATTAGTGGTTCTATTCCAAATGTTGGCTATGCACGCGTGTCCACGCGGTCTGTCGCGCGGCGGTGACCGCGCCCACCGGCTCTCCCCGCCTGCTTACCTGGTGCTGTCGCGGCTGTCGATGCTGTCACGGACTCCCATCTCTGTAGACCGGCCGGCCCTGGGCGGTGGGATTTCTCAGCTGGGCTGGGGATCGAGGCACCGTTCTCCTGGGGCCACAGCATGAGCCCGTGGGGCCGCAGGCCAGCATTGAGGATTGGGACAATTAGTAGGTTCGTCCATCCCTGGGCAGCAGGATTTCCACAGGATCAGGCAGAGCTATTGCCAAGTTTGGGTGACCCTAGGGTTGATTCTCAGAAGTCCTCATTAGAGATACTCTAAGTTTCTGTTGTTTGTATTCTGTCTGGGCACGAAACTTGGAGCAGGAGAAGCTCAGCTCTGGTGCAGATACTTGCCGCACAACCTTGATGTTCAAGCTCCCTTTTCTTAGCCTGTTCACGGTCTGGGAAAACAGTGAGAGGAGGAGTGCAGGGTATACTTTGTGATCATGAATATATCATAGACAAAAAATTTTAGCAGTTGAGAAACTGTATGCAAAATGTAAGATCCTGAACAGAATGCTGAAACTCTTAGAGCTCCAAGCAGCGTTTTACTAAATGTGTGCTTTTACTGGACACTTTATTATGCATTTCTCCAGCTCAATCATCCTAGTGGACCTAAATAATAGTGATGATGAGGGGTTGGATTATGAATAAAGTATGATTTAAAATCTTACCAATAAACAATAGACACATATATAATAACAAATACACATAATTGTATCTTATTTATGATACGATATAAATGTATATCTCTTAAAGTCCAAGAAAATTAACTAAGATTAATTAAACATGTATTGATTAATAAAGCTTAGAATTGCATGAAATATAGACTTTAGAGATCACGTTCTCTGGTCATCAAATAATAAAATTAGAATCCAAGAAATATAGTAAAAAAGCCCATAGCTTTTGTTGGATTCTTAAAATTTAAAGTGTACTTTATATACAGTAAAAATCATCCATTTTGGCTGCTGACTCTATTAACTTTGACACGTGCATCCAGTATGGTAACCACCATCACAGTAAAGGTATCAAATAGTTCAATGACTTCCAAAAATGTCCTAGTGCCCTTTGTAGTTAGCCCCTATCCAAAATGCAGCCTCTAGCAGTTCACTGGTCTTCGTGTGTAAGTAGTGTGCTCATTTTGTTTGCTCAGTAGTATCTAGTCGTTTTGGTGAACCACCATTTGGTACTCCATCCATCCGTTAAAGGACATTTGAGCTGTTTCCAAGGACATTTGAGCTTCATTCCATGGATGATGAATGAAGTTGCTAAAGCCATTTGTACACAGGGTTTTGTAAACATAACTTTTATTTTGCTTGGTTAAATAGCTAGGAGTTTTATTGCTGTGTCCCATGGACTGAATTTTTGTATCCCCTAAAATTCTCATGTCGAAGCCCTAACTGCCCAGAGTTAGCTACTCTCCCAGCAAACAGGCCCAAGGCAGGATCGTCACAAGGATTTGAAATAATAGGAAATGAAGAACTAATATAGCCAGAGAAATGATTGAGACAGAGACAAAGTGTAGTTTAAATGATGGGGAATATGGGGCCTCCAGCATTCCTTGAGCTGTGAGCCACGAGCAGTGTCGGCATCAGTTTATTGTTACAGCAAATACGTGTCTTTCGTTAGAGAAGTACGTGCACAGCTCACTTTTTGAGGTTTCCAGGG